GAACATCGTTTAGAAAAATCTCTTCTAGTATTAAAAAAAGAATTGATGAATGCAGAATTGCAAAATAAAATTTCAAAAGATGTAGAATTCAAGATTCAAAAAAGACAGAGAGAATATTACTTAATGGAACAATTGAAAGGTATCAAAAGAGAATTAGGTATCGATGACGGCCGTGACAAACTAATCGAGTCATTCAAAAAGAGAGCTGAAAAGTTAACGCTTCCTGAAGGTGTACAAAAAATATTCGATGATGAAATTACAAAATTATCTACTTTAGAAACCTCAATGTCTGAATTTGGGGTTATAAGAAATTACTTAGATTGGATAGTATCATTGCCTTGGGGTATTACATCAAAAGAGCAATATTCTATCGCAAGAGCTAGAAAGATTTTAGACGAGGACCATTATGGTATGAAAGATGTTAAAGATAGAATCTTGGAATTTATTGCCGTAGGAAAATTACTGGGTAAAGTCAATGGTAAAATTATTTGTTTTGTCGGTCCACCTGGTGTAGGTAAAACTTCTATTGGTAAATCTATAGCACGTTCATTAAATCGTCAATTTACAAGATTTTCAGTAGGTGGTCTAACTGATGTTGCTGAAATTAAAGGTCATAGAAGAACATATATCGGAGCTCTCCCAGGTAGAATAATACAATCATTGAAAAAATGTCAAACCCAGAATCCATTAATATTAATTGATGAGATTGACAAAATCGGTCATGGCGGAATCCACGGTGACCCATCTGCTGCTCTTTTAGAAGTTTTAGATCCTGAACAGAACAACAGTTTCTTAGATAATTACCTAGATATCCCAATTGATTTATCCAAAGTTCTATTTGTATGCACTGCAAATACATTAGATACCATCCCAAGACCCTTATTAGACCGTATGGAAGTTATCGAACTAACTGGTTACGTAGCTGACGAAAAGGTTAAAATTGTAGAACAGTATCTAGCTCCAAGTGCTAAGAAAGAGGCTGGTTTAGAGAATGTAAATGTTGATTTAACACCAGAAGCTATTACTGCACTAATGAAATATTATTGTAGAGAAAGTGGTGTTAGAAATTTAAAAAAACATATCGAAAAAATTTACCGTAAAGCAGCTTTTAATGTAGTTAAAGATATGAATTTGGATGAAACTGAATTAGAAGTTAACAAAGAACAAACTGCAAACGAAGACACTAAATCCAAAAATCTTTTAACAAAAGGTAAGGTGACTGAACTAGCAAAAGAAAAATCAGGAAACGTTGCTTCCTCTAAAAAGTCTTCTGAATCTCCTGAACCATTAAAAGTATCGGATGAAGTCAAAGTTTTAGTTAACGCAGATAATTTGAAAGATTATGTCGGTCCTCCTGTATATACAACTGATAGAATATTTGAAACGACACCTCCCGGTGTAGTAATGGGTCTAGCTTGGACAAGTATGGGTGGATGTTCATTATACGTAGAATCAGTTCTAGAACAACCCTTACACGACTGCAGAAGTCCACATTTAGAACGTACTGGTCAACTTGGTGATGTAATGAAAGAATCATCACGTCTAGCATACTCTTTCAGTAAAATGTATTTGTCTAAAAAGTTCCCAGAAAATAGATTTTTTGAAAAGGCATCTATTCACTTACATTGTCCTGAGGGTGCAACACCTAAGGATGGTCCATCAGCTGGTGTAACTATGGCGACATCATTCTTATCTTTAGCTCTGAATAGATCTATTGAGCCAACAGTGGCAATGACTGGTGAATTGACCTTAACAGGGAAAGTATTAAGAATTGGTGGGTTACGTGAAAAAGCAGTAGCAGCTAAAAGATCTGGAGCTAAAACCATAATTTTCCCTAAGGATAATTTAAGTGATTGGGATGAATTACCAGATAATGTTAAGGAGAACTTGACGCCACTAGCTGCTGATTGGTATGAAGATATTTTCGAAAGATTATTCTCTGATATCAGTGTCACTGAAGGCAATGAAATTTGGAAGGATGAATTTGAAAAAATCGATAGTAAAAAAGAAAAGGATTAGATATTCTAGTATTTCATAGACCAATTTAATTTTGGTCACAATATTAAACCAAATGTATATATAATTAAGCAGGTACCTTATCCAATTCTGTAAATAATAGGAAGTATTTTTTAAATCTTAAGGTTGTTACTAATAATGCTGATATATTTAAATCTATATAAATCTATATATGACATTAAAATATACTATTAGGTGTATGGGTATTAAAATTGAAAGTTGTCAAATGCTTATTATACTTATTCAGTATCTTCTTTCTTTTCAAAAAATTTCTTGATATCTTCCTCTTTAACTATTTCTCCATTTTCAGCAAATTCTTTAAAGAAGCTACTTAGTTTAGTTTTAAGTTTTTGGAATGCTACTAAACCCTCGATAGCCATACCATGTGGTAGGGTACTTTGTAACATGTCTGAAGCTAGGCCATAACTATCTAGATTAATATCTTGATCCTCCTGAGGTTCATAGATAGGTTCTTCATCTACTAGGTGTGACATTTTATTTTCTATAAAAGATAGAAGTTTATTATTGTCTTCATCCTTTAATGTACTAATTATTTTCTTTAGAGTTTCTGAGTAATTTGGCTTTAATAGTAAGGAATATTCTATTTCTTCTAAATCCAATTTTCTTTTTTTTGTGATTTCAGTGTTTTCATCCGTCTCATTATCTTGGATAGTTCCATTGCGGTATAATTTTGTAGCTATTAATTCCTCTGCATTTTGTTGTGATTCCAATAACTTGAAGAATGACTCCGACTTTTTAATACATTTCCAACAAATATAACCATCAAATGAATCCAAAGGAGGGAACCCCTTTACTATTTTTTCAGAACCTTCATCATCGTCATTTAAAGGTAATCTTTCAACTTTGTTCTCATCTAAATTCATAATACAATAATCGTGATACCAGTCTTCATCACACTCTGTACCCATGATACATTGCAACATTACAGAGTCAGAATCTGGATTGTATTCCTTTTCACAAATACAGAAAAGACCATCAAAGTTATGCCCATAACTATTATCAGAAGCAGGTATATCAGCTTCTTTGTTTTGTCTTAACTGACATCTAAAACCGTTGTCAGCATCAACTAAACCATCCCTTTCAGTTCCGCAATCACAAGTAAAATTTCTTTTTGTAAATAATTCAACAATATCACATCTAGTGTGACATTGTATTGAACAAGAATAACAAACACCAATCTTATTATGATCTCTACAAGCAAAAACTTGTTGTCTTAAGGGACCTAACGTATAAGTACAATTATTTGGATTCCATGGCATTGAAGACTTAGCTTCTCCTTCTAACAACTGCTGTTGTTCAATATATTCATCTGCACTGATATCACTCATACTGTATAAATAATTACAAATATACTTCTTCTACCTAATCTGATTCAAAGTGTATATAGTTCCTAGAATGTTCAACTATAAAACAAAACCGGATAAATATTTGTAATTTCAATCAATTCTAGCTCTATTTGCACAATTCTAACTAGCACCACCAAATAGAATACAAAATAAACTCCCAATACCGATACTTTGTAGTTGCTTAAGCCTTCATCTATACCTTCTTTGACATCAATTTAAAGGAACTTGTTGGCATTAAAAGCTAGCTTTCTTATATTTCAAATTTGAATACTTTTGATATCCGATGGGACCTTTTACCCTTTTAGGTCAAAGAGATGAATTACGTTTCCCGATCGGGTAATACAATACAAATCGTTCATTTTGAAAATTTAAGACCAACATTTAATTTAAAAAATGAAGAATAATCATCAAATGTATACATAAAAGTGATGGATAATTTATAAAGTTAGATGATTTGAGAGTGCTTGAAGTGTATCAAGAGACGTAGTTTTGGGTATATCTAGGGTACTATTATTTTGGGTTTAAATCTTCCTTTATTTTCTTTCGTTTGAGGTTGGTGAAATTGGTAACTCATTTTAAAGTTTCAAGATGTCAGACAACGGTAGTGATAGCAATAACAATAATAATAATAGAAGGAGGAGAAGAGATCAGGATTATGATGATGATGATGATGATGCTAATAGAGATGTTTCGAATGTGAACAATGGGTTCCCCCCATCTTCTCCTCAACACGGTGGGTATGCTCCATCGTCCCCAGTCGGTATTGCACCTTCTTCACCTATTGGTGCTCCTGCAGAGATGATGAATCCAGAAGGTGAAGATGATGAAATTGAAGAGATCCCAGATCTAGAAGAGCTAGAAGAACAAATGAACGAAGTCGATTTGATGGGGGACGATATGTATAGGGATTACGATGATGATCCTGATAAGGATAGATACGATACTCAGGGTGTTGATGATAGGGAACAAACCGAATTAAGTTTGGCTGATAGAAGAAGAATAGACAGGCAATTAAATGATAGAGACAGACTTTTGAGAAAATCGGCTTACTTAGATGAAGAAGAAGAAGAAGATGGGGATGGTGGGCAATTGGATGAGATGGGATTGCCTGTACAGAGACGTAGGCGTAGAAGACAATATGAAGATTTAGAACACAGTGATGATGATCTTTTAAGTGATTTAGATATCGATCCATTAGCCGAAGAATTGACTTTAGAGTCGTTGAGTAATGTTAAGGCAATCTCATATTCAGAATGGATCACACAACCAAATGTGGCAAGAACGATTGCAAGGGAGTTGAAATTATTTTTGTTAGAATACACTGATGAATCTGGTAGATCTGTGTATGGTGCTCGTATTAGAACTTTAGGTGAAATTAATAGTGAATCTTTAGAAGTTAATTATAGGCATTTAGCGGCTTCAAAAGCTATCTTAGCTCTGTTCTTGGCCAAATGTCCGGAAGAAATGTTAAAAATCTTCGATATGGTAGCAATGGAGGCAACAGAATTACATTATCCAGATTATTCACGTATTCACTCCGAAATTCATGTGAGAATATCTGATTTCCCAGCTGTACACAATTTAAGAGAATTACGTGAATCTAATTTAAGTTCTTTGGTCCGTGTCACTGGTGTAGTAACTAGAAGAACAGGTGTATTCCCTCAATTGAAGTACGTCAAATTTAACTGTTTGAAATGTGGTTCTGTATTGGGTCCTTACTTTCAAGATTCAAATGAAGAGATAAAGATTTCATTTTGTCCAAATTGTAAATCTAAAGGTCCATTCAATATGAATGGTGAAAAAACTGTTTACAGAAATTATCAAAGAATTACACTTCAAGAAGCCCCAGGTACAGTTCCAGCAGGCCGTCTTCCTAGACACAGAGAAATTATATTATTAGCAGACTTGGTAGATGTTGCAAAACCAGGTGAAGAAGTTGAAATCACTGGTATATATAAGAACAACTATGACGGTAACTTAAATGCTAAAAATGGTTTCCCTGTCTTCGCAACAATAATTGAAGCCAATTCAATTAGAAGAAGAGAAGGAAATTCTGCAAATATAGATGAAGAAGGTTTGGACATCTTTAGTTGGACTGAAGATGAAGAACGTGAATTTAGAAAATTATCCAGAGATCGTGGTATCATCGATAAAATCATTTCATCAATGGCTCCATCTATTTATGGTCATAAGGATATTAAAACAGCTATTGCCTGTTCGTTATTTGGTGGTGTTCCAAAAAATGTTAATGGTAAACATTCTATCCGTGGTGATATTAATGTTTTATTGTTAGGTGATCCAGGTACTGCAAAGTCCCAAATTCTAAAGTACGTTGAAAAGACAGCCCATAGAGCCGTGTTTGCTACCGGTCAGGGTGCTTCTGCTGTGGGTTTAACTGCATCTGTTAGAAAAGATCCTATAACGAAGGAATGGACTTTAGAAGGTGGTGCATTAGTGCTAGCGGACAAAGGTGTTTGTTTAATCGATGAATTCGATAAAATGAATGACCAAGATCGTACATCTATTCACGAAGCAATGGAACAACAAAGTATTTCTATCTCAAAAGCAGGTATCATTACAACCTTGCAGGCAAGATGTTCAATTATTGCAGCTGCCAATCCAAACGGTGGTCGTTATAATTCTACGTTATCCTTGGCTCAAAATGTAAATTTAACTGAACCAATTTTATCAAGATTTGATATTCTTTGTGTTGTCAGAGATTTAGTCGATGAAGAAGCAGATGAACGTCTAGCAACTTTTGTTGTAGATTCGCATGCCAGATCTCATCCTGAAAATGAAGTTGAAAATGACAACGAGGAAAAAATGGAGGTTGACGGTAACAATGAAGAAGATGAAAATGTACCAAATCTTTCTGCAAGACAGAAAAGGATAGAAAGACTGAGAAAGAAAGAAGAAGAAATCTCTCCTATTCCACAAGAGTTCTTGTTGAAATATATTCATTATGCCAGAACCAAAATATTTCCTAAATTACATCAAATGGATATGGACAAAGTCAGTAGAGTATATGCCGATCTAAGAAGAGAAAGTATAACAACTGGTTCATTCCCAATTACCGTTCGTCATTTAGAATCTATTTTAAGAATTGCAGAATCGTTCGCTAAAATGAGACTTTCTGAATTCGTGTCATCTTGGGATTTAGATAGGGCCATTAGAGTTGTGGTAGATTCTTTCGTCGATGCTCAAAAAATCAGTGTACGTCGTCAACTACAAAGGTCATTTGCTATCTATACACTTGGGCAAAGATAGAAAATCTTATGTGAATAATAATTCTTTGGTTTATAAATCAATAAAGGAATTTTGCATGCTGGGGTCTTCATTTTCACATTACTCCATGGATAAATATATGTGCTATTCCGTTTTTAATACTGTATTATGCCGTTTTTTTAAATGGTAATAAGAGCAGAAGTTGTAGTAATAAATTAATAAAAAATAAACTAAAACCCAAATCAACAATAAAAAGAAGAATAAATGTAACAGGTATCCAAACTATATTGTATATTTTATTTGCATTTCCTTTTTATGTTCATCTATATATTATTATTATATATATGTGTCTGTATTCTAATATTTATGTTTATCCTTAATACGGTTTCTTTTTCAAATTAAAAATTTACTCTGTCGAATATTAAACTATCTACATTGGTAAATATGCCTGAACTCGTGAATGATCTTCTTATTTCCGATGTAACAAGGCAACCTAACATGATCTTGTACTGTCGTGAACGTTCTTACAATACAAATCATCATCAACGAAGCTACTTATCAATAATTAACGAATATTTTTATTAAGAAATTTCGAAATCTAACATAAAAGCTAACTATTTAAAGAAGATGCAGTAAGCTATTATAACGTTGACTGTTATATCTAAATCTAAGTCTCATTCCAGAACATATTAATCTGCAACCAAGTTTCTATTTGTCACTTTTAGGTAGTTTTACAAGATGCTCACCTTTCCAATTGTGAAGAATGCATTAAAAAATAGCAGCTTATTTGCAAAAGAGCCTCTATGTATGCTAAATTACCAAAATGTTCGTAATATGTCTTTACTTGGGACTTTAAGGCCTTCAGAAGGCTCCACCAAAACATTTAAGAGAGTTGGGCGTGGTCCTTCAAGTGGTAAAGGTAAAACTTCCACTAGAGGTCAGAAGGGTCAAAAGGCCCGTGGTAGTGTAAAACCGTGGTTTGAAGGTGGTCAAACTCCAATCTATAAATTATTCCCAAAAATTGGTTTCACAAATGTTAATGCTAGACCAATGAATGAATTGAATTTAATCAGAATCAAAGAGTTTCATGAAAATGGTAAATTAAATTTAGAAGAAGGTGAAGTTTTAACGATGAAAAAAATGAAAGATCTAGGTCTTATCACGGGTCCTATTAAGCATGGTGTCAAAATTTTAGGTAGAGGTTGTGAGGATTTTAACGTTCCTATCAAGATTGAAGCTTCCAGAGCTAGCGACAGGGCAATTAAGGCAATTGAAAGTGCCGGGGGTGATTTTACTGCAAGGTATTTCAGTGATTTTGGCTTGAAGGCACATTTGAGTCCTTCTTGGTTCTTAAATAAAAGAGGCAGAATTCCATTACAACCTAGACCAACAAGAAGAAAGGATATCGAATATTACAGTAATGAAGAAAACAGAGGTTATTTAATTAAAGAAAATGATTCCTTACTACAAAAAATTAAAGAGGTTAAGGAAAGTAAGAATTCAGCTGGTGGACGTTTAGCCAAAGATAAGAAAAACAATGCTTTAGAATTACAATTGCAAAACTTGAATACATTTGATCCTACCGTTTCAACTACAGAGAACTCGGGTATAGTCAAAAGTTCTGAGTTGAAATAAACATGCCATTTGAAATAACTGGAAGACTACATTTAATAACCATATTCATGTGTAAAAGATTAGATTATATAGGTTCATGTAAATAATGCAATACCATTTATCGTTTATCAATAACCATATTAGAATTATACTGGTGTCAATTTAGAGGAATTTTCTTATACTTCTTTTGCATATATAAAGAGTTTATATAAAACATCTTGTGTAAGATGGTGTCAGAATTATGAGGTAACACGTGATCTAAACGTATTACGACATTATTCATATAGGATAAAGAAATGTTACTTTACACGAAAGTGTTATTTCTGACGTTAAAACTTTTCCAACACTTTATATAAGAAATGACAAGATCTTAATTGACACTTGTCATGTTAATTATATTCCCATGTGTATATTATATACTTTAATACACTGGATCAATATCAACTTATTAAGAATGTCCTTGGAAATAAATAAAGAATCTATTACTATGAACGATTCGGTAGAAAAACCACAACATAATTCTCTACAAATATTAACTTCAACTTGATATTCAAATGGAACAAAATAATTGACAATATAAAATATTCCCTTTCATTTTTTGAAATTACTCCGGCCAATCTAATTTTGAATTAAATTTTCTTCCATCACCTACTATAACGATTTTTTATCAAGATATCCAATGCAAAACCGCATCAAACTAAATTTTCTAATAAATTAATTGATCTCCTCTCGGTAGCCAAGTTGGTTTAAGGCGCAAGACTGTAATGTTTCAAACAAAGTAATCTTGAGATCGGGCGTTCGACTCGCCCCCGGGAGATTTTTGTTTCTTTCAAGGTTATATTTTTAGTTATTTCATCATTACGCAGTCATTTACATATATCTCGATGAAACTTCTAAAAGTTTAGAATCCAAAAATCTTTGAACTCTTGGTTTTTAATTACATTCAGGTCGTTTGCATCTGAATAACCGATGAATAGCGGAATATAATAATCAATAAAAAAATATTAAAATGCAATAATTAACAATACAATTAATCTAATCTATTTATAAACAAATTCACAAAATTATTAATGAATTATGTTGTCCTTACTTGATAAAAGTTTGTTCAAATTATATTTTTGTTTAATGAGATCGTCAAACCTGTTATCAACAGGTTTATTTTTACTCTCCTTATCCTTCTTTGTCATATATTTGAACAGTTCGATAATAACTTTTGGATCTTCGTCATCTCCAACAAATGAAATCGCAGTACCTTCTTTTCCTGCTCTACCAGTTCTACCAATTCTGTGGATATAATCCTCAAAACTATCAGAGATTTGATAATTAACTACCAGACCAACATTGGGTATATCGATACCTCTAGCCGCCACATTGGTAGCTATCATAATTTGAACTCTTCCTGTCCGCAATAGATTCAGTGAATATTCTCTTTGATCTTGTGATTTAGAACCATGTAAAGTTGTTACTTTAAAATTAGTCTCTTCCTGGAGCTTTGTCGCTAGCCAATCTGCAGTTTTTTTATAATTGATGAATATTATGACTGGGGGTGGGTAAAGTTCAAGCACTTGTTTTAGTTTACGAAATTTGGAATTTTCATTAGGAGAATAATACACTAGTTGGTTAATATGAGGTACAAATTCTTCTGAATTCCCAATTGATACATATGATGCATTACGAAGATACCCATTGGCAATTCGCTCAATTGTAGGTGTCATGGTAGCTGTGAACATAATTTTTTGCAAATTGTCTTTCATTTCATTTATCTGTAATTTTGATAAAATTGTAGTTACTTGGTCTTCAAATCCAAAATCAATCATTTTATCAGCCTCATCCAAAACTATTGTGTTTACATTATCAATCACGATTAAATGTGACTCCAAACAATCAATCAATCTACCAGGCGTGGCAACTAGAATATCACAGCCTTTAGAAAGATCATATGAAATTTCCTCAATCGAATGGCCACCAACAATACATATGCTAGTAATTTTTGTTAACTCATTTGATGACAAAGAAAGAATTTTTTTAATTTCAGCCTGTATTTGTTGTGCCAACTCTCTTGTTGGTGCAAGGATCAAAGCTTTTGGCCCTTCTATTACTTTTAATGATAAAGGTCTGATAGCTGTTCCAAGCAATTTTATTAAAATGGGAATAACGAAGGCTAAAGTTTTACCAGAACCAGTTGAAGCAATACCCATGAGGTCCCTATTGGTTGAATGTCCATTTTTTTGACAAATATTTGGAATTGATATCCTCTGAATTGGTGAAGGAGATATAAAGTTTAATTTATTTTTTAGTACTTCCAAAAGATCGTTTGGTATTAGTCCAAGTTCATCCCAGTTTCTCATAGGATGCAATATATTACCACCTTTTGTAGTTATATGATAATCTTCGCTCAATATTCTCCAATCTCTCTCAGACATTTCTGATAAAGACTTTTCCTTCCAGTGTTTCCCCATATAAGCATGTTCAAAAGAATCTAGTTTCTTAGAATGTTTATTACCATTATTTTTTATCAAATCAGACACGCTGGTGCCTACAATTGGATTATAGTTTGAAAGAGTATCCTCTTGCTCATTCCAGTTAAATTGAAATTTCGAAGATTGTTTTTCGTTATCGACTAGTCGAATATCATTGTTATTTCTAACACCATCATCAACTTGTCTACTCTTCTTATTGCCAATCACAATGTTATACTTAGAAATATCACCATTCTTAGCTTCTGGAAGTTGATTCTGCTCATTTATCTTCTCTCTTTTAGCCTTATCTAGAAACTTTGGCTTAACCACTTTATAAGCATCATTGTTAGAATCGGATGGAGCTTCATTGTTTTTACCCTTTTTGATAGAACTTAATAACTGATTAATGTTAGCAGGTCTAGCCATGGCGAGATATTAGGATTCCGAAACTGATTAATATCTACCCCATCTCTTAACTTTCACCAAAACTTACTTCATCTAAATTCAAAATATATTTCTTAAATTCTAGAGCGCTAGTCCATCTGGAAAATAAATTTATATAAGCTAGGCTCAATGAAATAGAGACGTCAAGATATTTGTTTATTCGTTGTATAAAATAGAGAACGGATGAATACTATAATATAATAGTCAAATTCTATTGTATTTTTATATAAATGCTTCTTTTCATTATATATATATATATATATATAAATAGTCTATATATAGTTGACATAAACAAGATTAGATTTCATCTTCCTGGATATTCAAAAAATTGAATATCTTTTGCGCTAAACCCTCATCATCTACTAGATTTGTTAAATCTTCTTTGGAGAGTTTCTTTAATACACTGAACTTTTTGACTTTCTTTCTAATGCTGAAATAGTCGACTTTTGAAAGCCCAGGAATATCCAATAATGTTTTATATAACTCGTCATTAGTTTCGTTATTTGTTTTCACAGATGTCGGTTGGGACCTTGAATTTTTAGATACACCCAGTGCCATTGATACACTTGGATCTGGTTGTGATCTACCTAGCTTCAACTCTAGAATTATATTGACTGTTTGCAAAGGTGAAGACGACCAAATGATTTTAAGATTTGGAAATTTAAGAGCTAACTTTGACAACTTCATCTGAATTTCAAATTGTGACAGTGTACTGGAAATTTGATGTACTGTGGATGATTCATTTCTTCGATAGCTTCTCTTTTCAGCAAATGGTTCTAATGAAAACGACTGGTCTTCATCAAATTCAATTAATAAAGTTGGAAATTTATAATATTTTGCCATTTTCTTACATTGCGACTCTAACCTATTATTAAGAAAAGAGCCAATTAAATCTGCGACGGACTTTCTTTCAATACAAATATCTGGAGTTATAATATAATCACCAACTGTTAACATACAGGGAATCACACAAACACCATATCTATACAATAGACCGGGCAAACTTGCATTAAATTCACGGGAATCGACAATAACAACATCTTGGGTGACCTCATGCAGCAAATTCTGACCACCTGCAATCCTAGTGCTAGTATTTCTTAACCTACTCAATTGAAGTTTCCTATCTGCTAAATTCTTATAATGAGATAGATCACCTTCAGTTTCAAAATGTTGTGCCAGCATTGCATTTTCTCTAATCAATTTTGTGAAGGCATCCTTTTCTTTCTTGATGGCAGTTAAATGCCTTTGTTCTTCAATACTATCACCGTAATACATGAAATATATAACGGGAGCTTGTTCATGGTTAATAGCTCGGTAAATTTCCAAATTCCTTACAAAGGTCAAGTCCGGCTCATACATTATAATATGAGATGGCATTACTTCTTGCAATGCTGTTTCATCATTTAGGTTAGCAAAACAGTCGACAATAATTTGGTCATTACAATTGATATAGTGGTAATCATTTTTAACCTTTTCCCATACCTCTTTGGATGTTCTAGCAGCAGAAAAACATGTTTCTGCCGTTTCTGTATCACTTTCGAATGCTTCATCTTCAGCTTCATTTGAGTATTTTATATATTCATCAGAGCCAAGCACTTCTTCATCTATTACTCTGCTCATCTCATCCCAACTGACATCATAATCATCAATAATATTTTCTATATCTTCACCAGCGCCTGCATTACGAAGACGTTCCACTGCTGCAACGGTAGCTGCACCTCTAGTCCTCCTCCTTTTGGAGACAACTTCTTCTTTAACAAACGCTGTACTTACAACTATCTCTTTTGTATCCTGTGTTTCCTTATCATTGGCTTCTTTTAGCAATCTTTTATTCTCTTCCTTGCGGTATCTATAAAGATTCAACTTTTGATTCATTAAATTCTTAATACCATCCTTACGATTTGAATACGCCAAAACACTTGTGATTTGTCTACAAGTAGCAGGGTCAGAGCACGCTATCAAAGTTGGACCATTTTTCTTGGATATATTTCTTTGGTATGAAATATCTTCTAGTATGCTCAGAACTTGTTCCCATTTTGGTTGCTCTTCCAATTGGTATCTCTCATTATCATATATTCTTTTCCTGGAGTGAGATATTACTAGTTGAGATTCAGTGGCCATTAACCATGGAGATTCAGTATATTTCCTAGAGATAGAAGGTTTATTAGCTTCCAAACTCAATTGAAGCTCTTCGTAAAATGTAACAGAATCTGACGTCACCAATAATTTCATCAAATGCCTTAAAAATCTTATATCTTTTACCAACTGTTTCGATTCAAAAGAAATCCGATGCCAATTCGGAACCATCACTGAATCAATTGACCTTTGAAAATTAAGGTCTAAGGCATTTTCTATGTTCCACCAATCTAGCGCTAATTCTGAGTTTTTTCTAATAAGTTCCGCTATACATTTTTTCAAACATTCGATCAGACCAAATTGAATCTGTGACATTGAATTCGTTAAACTAACCTTAATTTCTATTACTTTCTGTGATTTTTGTTTCAGAATGTCATTTAAGCATGATGAAATCTCAACCCTAAATCTAGGCCATAGCAGCACATTTTTGAATTTTAAATCTTTCATTTTTCTCATCAATGGTGAAAATTCCATTACAAATGATTCTGGAGATTCAGAGAAACCTTTTAAGAAACCCCATTTATTCTTTGACCTAAAAATTTCTATGATAAACGATTCATTTGAGTAGTGTCGCAGATTTTCAACATTTAGCACAACAATACCTGTGATTCTATTCGGGTGAATAATACCTGACAACAAATCTACAATTAAAATTCTCGATGTTACACTTATTATACCCCCAGACAGATATAATTTACTTCTCTTTTCAACACTCAAAGAGTCTGCAGTAACTACATTGAATGATCTAGGGTTTTCATTTCCATTTTGATCACTGCTTATATTTCCATTTTTTGACAAATTATTATCGTCATCATCATCAGATAACCAAAACAACTCTTGCAATTCTTCACCTATCCGTTGGTTATCTGATTGGGTAGCGTTAAGAACCAAAACTAAAGATCGTTTCAACTTACCATCTAGCTTTGTGGGAGTTGCCAGAATATGAAGTAAATTCGACACTATGCTCATCATTCCGAGACCTTTCCCTAAAATTACCAATGGATCATTGGAAACTAGTGCATTTTCAACTACCTGTTGTTGAAAAGATAGTGGCAACGATAAATTAATATTTACAGATCTAATGTCATTAATATCAGGTTTCTTATCATCATACTCATATTTATCATTAGGTATTAAAGGGTACAACACTTTATCCTCTTCTTCTTCTACTTTTTCAGTTTTCTTCTTCTCTGACTGACTCGTTTCATCAACAACATCTACACCAGAACCAACTTTTGGCTCTTCTACCAAAATTTTCTCTTGAAGCTCCTTCAATTCCTTAATTTGCCTTGATAATTCATCTTGCAGTCCTTCATCATCAGAATCATCCTGAACAAATAGTTGTGACATTCTACTTTCCCTTCTAGAACCTTAGCACACCTCACTTACCACTTTTCAATTACAATATATACCAGCAAATATCATGAGACCACACATAGCCAAACATATACATAAACCTCAGGTCATTGTTGGTTAAAAATATTCTTATTTCTTATTCATAAACTTGAGTTTTGTCAAGAGTCTTATTCAATTTAGCGATGAGGTTGAAATATTTCAAATTTGATATCAAACTGAAAAAAAAAACTTCTTCACATTTAAAAGGTTGACTGGAAAGACCTGATCAATGAAAGTTTAGTTTGGTGACTCTTGAAGAGCTTTCAATTTATTGTTTGGAACTATCAGGTAGATTAGTAGGTTTGTTTGTGTATTAGTTGTATTTTAGTTTATTGAGATTTGATTTGAATACGACATTTTTGGAAGAAAGACAGACAAGAAATCAGAATATAGAGATCTTTTCAGTTAGCTGGCTTTATTTATTAGACTACTACCAGAATAAAGTGAAGGGGAGTATTAGTAGTTTTTGGATTATAGTTGAATATAAGAATGTCGTCTATAAGAGAGCTTTATGACCAGAGGTCTACACCAGCAGTTTCTTTGGAATTTTTTCCTCCAAAGACTGAGATTGGTAAGAGAAATTTACTAGAACGTATGGGACGTATGTCAGCTATGGATCCTTTATTTGTTACTGTAACATGGGGTGCAGGTGGAACCACTGCCGAAAAGACATTAGAGTTGGCTACTTTAGCTGAAAATAGTTTAAACCTTAATGTTTGTATACATTTAACATGTACAAATATGAGTAGAGGGATAATAGATGAGGCATTGGAGGCTTGTAAAAAAATTGGTATAAGAAACATATTAGCATTAAGAGGTGATCCCCCAATTGGTGAAGATTGGAATGATATGGAATCAGAGTTAAATGAATTTAAATACGCTATTGATTTAGTTAGATATATTAAGCAGAATTATGGAGACTATTTCTGTGTTGGTGTAGCAGCTTATCCTGAAGGCCATCATGAAGGTGAACTAGATAGTAACGACCATGAACCTCATAAAGATCTACCATTTTTGAAACAGAAAATTGAAGCTGGTGCAGATTTTGTCATTACACAATTATTTTACGACGTAGAAAAATTTCTAAAATTTGAAGAATTATTCAGGAGAGAAGTGTCAGATTCCATACCGTTATTTCCTGGTTTGATGCCAATAAATTCCTATTCTTTATTTCATAGAGCGGCAAAATTATCTCATGCTTCAATCCCACAACATATTAGTGAAAGGTTCTCACCTGAAATCCAAGCAGATGACCATGCTGTCAAGGCAGTTGGTGTAGAAATATTGATAGAAATAATTAACGAGATATATCAAAGAACTTCTGGAAGAATAAAAGTCTTCCATTTCTATACATTAAATTTGGAAAAAGCCACTGCCCAAATTGTGACAGGATGTCCCTTACTATCGCACATACTAGAAGAAGATCAAGATGATGATTCTCTCATAGATAATGAAGACGTAATAATGACTGATGACAAAGGAGGCGAAAATGATGTAGAGCTAGGACAAACTAATAAAAGAAGAAGACATTCAAGTGTCAACTCTAATTCAATGGCTTCCGGTCCACTAGTGATAGATAGGAGTGGATTAAGACGAGATTCAATCGGATTGACCGTACCTTCAAGAAAAGTCTTAATTTCTATATCCCAAGGATCTGGTACCCTTGGAAGAAATGCAACTTGGGATGAATTTCCAAATGGTAGATTTGGTGATTCAAGGTCACCAGCATATGGTGAAATTGATGGTTATGGTCCAACGTTGAAAGTAGGGATCAAAAAAGCATATGATTTATGGGGTACACCAAAAAGTGTTATAGATTTAAAGTCTGTATTCATTAAATATTTGGAAGGCTCTATAAGTGCGTTACCATGGTGTGATTTAGGTTTATCACCAGAAACAGCATTGATTCAGGAAGAACTGATACAATTAAATCAAAGAGGATACCTGACCTTGGCATCCCAACCTGCTACAAATGCTTCTCCAAGCACAGATAAAATTTTTGGATGGGGTCCAAAGAATGGTTACGTATACCAGAAAGCTTTTGTAGAAATGTTTATTTTAAAGAAACAATGGGAAGCAATCGTTAAACCCAAACTAGACCATTACCCAAGGGGTAAATTCAGTTATTATGTGGGTGATTCTAGTGGTAGTTTTGAGTCTAATTTAGAAACAAACAGTTCAAATGTTGTCACATGGGGTGTATTTCCTAATAGTCCTGTAATTCAAACAACCATTGTTGAAGAAGAATCATTTAAGGCCTGGAGGGATGAGGCATTTTGCATTTGGTTAGAATGGGCGAAATTATTCCCATCTAATGAGTTAAGCAATAGTTTCTTGAAACAAGTACATTCAACTTATTGTTTAGTTTCAATTGTTCATCACGACTTTAGTGAAACTGATGAATTATGGGAAATGCTATTGGACTAATTAGTGATAAGTATATACAATATATATGGGATGAAGCTTATTGTAACTATATAAGATAGAGTTTTTAAGGAATAACAATATAATTCAGCTTAACTGAGATGCTTTTCTTTTCTTTGTATTAATTCCTGTTTGTTTAACTTGATTTTGATCTCTTTCCAATTTGGCTTGGAGATATGCATTTATTTTATGGTCTTTATGCTCATTCCACTTCTTATTTATTCCGCCTAAAAATGTGACATTTGATTCTTGAAGCATAAATACTCCTCTATTGAAGATTGTACCTGGCCGTATAATTATTTTAGCTCCAAATGGACAAGAAATCCATGGTAATGGAGTCGAATTAATTGCAAAAAAGACTGCCCCAGTTTTACTTTGCAGCGATAATTTATACACTGCATTTTTAGCCTTATTGTTGTTATTACCTGTATTCATAAAGTTTGTATTAGAGCCATTGTTACTATTTTCATCATCATCATCATTTACATTTACTTGTGTAATAATTTGATAGTTTCTAGATGAAGCATTATTATTAGATTGTCTAACCCTATCCATCCTTTGGTTCTTGGGATCGTATTTTGCCTTTAAATCATCTACTTGTGAGCTTTTAGAATAGCCTACATTTTCAATCATTAAAATTTGAAATAATAAATTCCTATCCACTTTCATGAACTTCTTCTCTACAATATCATTGTGAGTATTCAATTGGCTTAACCAAGCTTCATTTTCATATGCTTCTACTATCTGTTTCTCTTTCAAACTAAGAGATAATCTATCACTAGGTATCTCAATACTCGTAGTTATATCTTGCGATAATATATTAGAAAGTGACATTCGTATTAATAGAAATCCCAATTGGAAACAATTCAATCACACTCCTTCATAAAATAAAATATGATAGCAACTCCTATCACCATTTTTTAATTGTTCTCTATAGTATCTAATCTTCATTATTAAACTTAATAACTAGTTTACTTTATGCTGTTTTAGATCAAATATTTGCCTGGTATGAATATCTTAAAATTTCAGATTTTGATATCAAATCGAATAAAGAAAAAAATAAAGCCTATATTAAAGTAAAAGGTATCACTACTTTCTATTTGTTATAATGTTAAGAAAACACTTTCCGGTTAATATTGAGGTATAACTTTTGGATACCAGTTGCTCAGTGTGTTGTATTGATATATTTAAGGTTTTATTCTAATCATTATGGCTATTCAGAGTCTATTAGTTATAAACAAATCCGGTGGTCTTATATACCATAGAAACTTCGATAATGATAGTAAAAATAATTCACTTAATAGTAATGATTATTTGATTCTAGCAAGTACTTTACATAGTGTTTTCGCAATTGCAAGCCAGTTGACACCCAAAGCTATACAGATCAATCAGAATAATGTTAATAACCCTAATAATTTGGATTATAAGATTCCATATATTCCTTATGTAGGTATGTCTACTGGTAATGGGAGTGATAATTATAATTCAAGAAATGGTGGCGATGGGTATAGTAGAAATGATTCTACAAATTCTACCAATTCTTCTAATAAGAACTCTAAGTTGAATAAGTTGGGTAGTTTCAAAGGGGATGATTATTTTAAAGAACCATTTGTTAGTTGGAATAAGAGTGGGTTGCGACAATTATCTACAGACCAATTTACAATGTTCATATACCAAACGATGACTGGTTTGAAATTCCTGGCAATCAGTTCTAGTGTTGTACCACATAGTCAAGGCATCTCTGATAATACTCAAGTGCCTAGTACAATTGAAAAATCTTCAAATTTACAGGTACAGATAGCGGATAACTTTCTAAGAAAAGTTTACTGTATTTACAGTGATTATGTTATGAAAGATCCATTTTATTCATTAGAAATGCCAATAAAATCAGAATTATTTGATAGAAAAGTTAAGCAGATGGTAGATAATTTATTATAACCAAGTAAGTAGGTTAACAATAGAAACGAAATGCATATATAGCGAGATTTTTGAAAATATATATATAGACGATTGAATGCTTTATAGCATAGGTGCCTATATTTTAAGGCACACTCTTCAGAAAGGACAAATACATTTATGACAATGCTACAGAATTTCAAATCCATATTCAAGATATGTACAATCCTGAAATTCAAAAATCAATCAAATTTTATCAATGAAATGGGAGAAATATAGCTTTTTAGTAGATTACATAATAATATATAACAAAATGGATATGTATGAACCACTAAACTTTAGCAATTATTACAGTTAATATAAAATTTCTTGTTTATGAAATTTGAAATCAATTTAATAATAGAATCATGCAATGAGAACATAATAAAAAGAATAATGATAATGAGAAAAAGTAAAGAAGATCAATTCTATCTTTAGATTAGGATTAAATAGGCTTGTTGATTATTTTAAGCCTTTTCGATGACGACAGAAGAAGCACCACCACCACCGTTACAGATAGCACCGACACCTAATTTACCATTTTCTTGATGCAAAACAGAGATCAAAGTAACAATGACTCTAGCACCTGAACAACCTAATGGATGACCCAAAGCGACAGCACCACCGTAAACATTAACTTTATCTTGGTTAATTTTCAAGATCTTTGGATTAGCGACACCAACAACAGAGAAAGCTTCATTAAATTCGAAGAAATCGACATCGTCTTGAGCAATACCAGCATGGGTTAAAGCCTTTGGAACAGCTAAAGATGGGGCCCAGGTGAAATCAGCTGGTTCGTGAGCAGCTTCACCCCAACCTTTAATTGTAGCTAAAGGTTTCAAGTTCAATTCTTTTAATTTTCTTTCAGAGACTAAAATCAAAGCAGCAGCACCATCATTTAATGGAGAGGCATTTGGAGCAGTAACAGTACCGTTTTCCTTTTGGAAGACAGTTCTGGCAGATCTCAATTTGTCAACCTTCAAATTAGCTGGTTCTTCATCTTTGGTAATTTGGGTATCTGGTTTACCTCTGAAACCTTTAATGGTAACTGGAACAATTTCATTGTCAAATTTACCATCGTTTTGAGCCTTTTGAGCCTTTTGATAAGAAGCAATAGCGAAACTATCTTGTTCATCTCTAGTAATTTCCCAGTCACGAGCACATTTTTCAGCATGGACACCCATTGCCAAGCCATCGTAAGCGTCGTTGATACCATCTCTTTGAATACCATCGATCATTTTAGTTTCACCGAATCTGGCACCACCTCTAGCAGAAGGGACGTAGTATGGAACGTTAGTCATTGATTCAGTACCACCAACAACGACGACATCAGCATTACCACATAAGATGGTTTGAGAACCTAAAATAATAGCTTTCATACCTGAAGCACAAACCTTATTGACGGTAGTGGCAACAATATGCTTATCCAAACCAGCAGTCAAAGCAACTTGTCTGGCAGGGTTTTGACCGTTGTTGGCAGTCATAACATTACCAAAAATGATCTCATCGAAGTCCTTTTCGACATTCAATTGAGGAACTCTTTCAGCAGCAGCCTTAACAGCAGTAGCACCCAATTCAACAGCTGTCTTTGGAGATAAACCACCTTGGAAAGAACCTAAAGGAGTTCTAACGGCAGAAACAACGTAAACTTTACCAGACATTCTTATTATTATTATTTAATATTATTCTTTATATGCTACGCTATTAGAAGATATATAATACGTAATCAACAACAGCAACAACAACTACAAGAAGAAGAATACTGAACAATTAATTAATTAATACAAGAAGCAAAATACAGGATAGAAGAGAAATTGGATGCAATGAAAAGCAGAACTATCACACGCTTTATATATATGAAAGTAAATAGCATTAAAGTGTATATTCTTGAAAAGCTGCTAACAAGAATGAACAAGATCTTGTCTTTAGAGCTGAGTCTCGGACCAGTCCAACAAGAGCGATAGAGATCTTTCATGCAAAGAGTTTTCCGACTTCCGACTTCCAACTTCCAAACGGTGAAGCAAAGCCAAGCCAAGGCAAGACAAGGCAAGAGATGATAGTATTGGAGAGTGATCCAAACAAGAGAAATACACAAGGGAAAGAAAGCATTGCATTCATTGAAAGAAACGACGACGACGAGGACGACGACGAGGAGAATTGGAATAGAAACAGAGAAATATACACTCATTCCGACTAGAATCAGTATAGCAGAGGATATATATCGTTAATGACATACTTTTGTCACTTTGGTACTCTCTATTATGCTATAGATTATCAATTCTAGATCAGTAACGACCAGTTCTCAGCTCAGAGTGACTTTTGATCTGAAGCTATGAGATGGACTGGACTTGGAATTGGAATTGGACAGAACTGGAGTGAATTGCTGGTCTTTCTTCGTTTTGGTTGCAGCAATGGATCGTTATTCTGGTGGACAGTGGTTTATATCTCACTGTTTCAGTCGTTTCAGAACATCTTGAACATTGTATGTAGATGGTAGATATACTGAAAAAAAAAAGACATAAGGAAGAAGAGGAAGAGGAAGAGGTACAGAGTGTCTAAGGTTCTTCAGTTCATTGATCAATCATCAACTCGTTTGAGATTTGGTTATTTAACGGTGCTTGATGAGATGTATTGGTGTGTATGCATACATCTTTATGCGTGGGAAGAGTTTATCCTAGTTGACAAAGCCTCTCTCCTACGTTGTTCAATCGAATTCATTTCTTGTTACTCTTTTTTTTTTTTTTTTTTTTTTTTTCGCTCTTCTTTTCACTGATTGTACTAAGCTCTCTCCTCTATTGTATAGTATTGTATTGTATAGTATTGTATCAAGATCAATTATTATGGTAGTATCTCTTCTATAGACCGATATATGTTAATTGAGTGGAAAATTTCATTACCAATGTCGATATCGATACTTTTGACGTCAAGATGTATCCTATATCGCCCTAATTATTTGATTGTTTTACTTTAATCTAATAATTAACGCTTTATTTATTTACTTTTCTGGTTTGGTTTGGTTTGAATATCATCGGTCTTGCTTTCTTGATTATTTGCAATTACTTATCTACACTAGAATAAATAAAAATTGAATTGTACCTTTTCTATCTATAAATTATCTTATTTTTCGGTTATTTACCTTTATTTTTTTTATATCCACAACTGTTTCTGGCTTCTGCCCTTGCTCCTGCTCTGAGAGACTAGTTTTTGAATGATCTGTATTTTCTAACTCATTTTCATACCGTTCGCTTTGGTATCTTACATACTTGAACCATTTATATCAGTGATTACGTGGATTACGCTTGACTAAGTTCATAGCATTCTGGACCCAATTTAGTGGGCCTCCATCTTCAAATAATATATCATACACCTCTTGTGTAGGGAATTCTGGTAATTTATCGTTTTTATACCCAATTATTGCTGCATTCCTAGTACTTGGTATACGCAACATCTCTTTTTCAACTTCCCATCCAACTCTTTCTGCAATATACTCAACTCTATCAACTAATCCAGCATATGTACTATTAACCATTTTACTACTGTCTTGATGATGCGGCTGTGCTTTCCTAACATTGTACCTTATTCTATCTCCTGACAAATTATGTGAACAACATGGGATAACCATAAACGGATAGCCCAACAACGGTATCCAACAGGTCAATTCATCGGAATGATTACCAATAATAAATGTATCTTTTTCAAATTCAACTACATTAACTTGTGGTGATTTTAACAAATCTTCTCCTGAGTATAATACTGTCGCTGGTGCTATCAAATCGTTAGAAACAACTTTAACTGGGAAAACACTACCATTGGTCTCCAAAAATGGCATCGCTTTCTTAACGTTAGGATGAGGGCGAATTAATACCGATGGGATTATAACTTGTTCTTTTAAACAATTTTGAATCTTATTGGGATAAATTGACCAAGATTTCCGATGTCTAGCATCAATACCAATACCCTTCACACCTTCTTCTATCAATATATAGCATAGAACACCGTTACCACAACCTAAATCTCTAAATTGCATCTTATCACGAAAATTTTCTCCATATATTTTTATCCATAATTCAATTAAAAATGCCGCTATTGCAACATCTTCAAATACATGTTTCTTTGGATCAGTGGATTCGACCCAATTCTCAATCAAGAACTTTGAATATTTACCCTTTAAGATAATATAACGATCTTGAAATTTAACTTTATCAACAACTTGATCATGGTTTACTCTTTTCTCATAACCTTGCATTACACCTTTAGAGTGTTTATAAGCTGTTTGTAATAGCCTCCATGCTGTCCTCACTACTCTTTCAGACTCGTCATTAAGTGATGAAACATCAGAATATGGAATATAATGAACTGAAAGTATACCTTCATGAAGTAAAATACCCACACTTTCAACATGTGGTATATAAAATGGACATTCGTCTTCTTCTTTAATATGTGGAGTATAAATAACTAAAGAAGTCTCGGGAAATTTTTGAGGACTATTCATCAACAAACAAGTTTGATTTATGGAAAAATCTTTATATGGATTTCTAGGAACCATTCTTCTTACAATGCCTCTTAAAATTTTTAATTCTAATTCATCATTTAATTTAGGATTTCTAACCTCCATGTCGTATACTCCTATTGCTTTAGATTCAGGATCAATTACTTCAACTTCATTCTCTGTATGCTTAATAACTTTCGATTCTTCAACACCAAGATCATATAGTGTTTCCTTCAAAATATCTGCTCTCAATACAGCTGTTGAATTGATATTTGGTTCTCTAATGACATTCAACATCGCCATTTCAAAATGTTCTTTTTTGAATGGAACTTTTGATCCAGTGGCATATATACAACACCAATCATCACCTAAAATACTTTTGTCATGAATCTTGTATTCGAATAGATCTGAATCTTTAGCAACTTTATCAGCTGCCATATCTTGATCAAATTTTATTTACCTTTTATCTTAATTATTAGAATTGATATATTCTTTCTTCCGACAATAGAGACCAATTAGTTCACTCTTAAACCTTTTAATTCAGCACTGTCAACTAGATCGAGGTCCTTGGCTAGTAGAATGCTGTTCAAAAGCCCTTTGATCAATCAATCATATCGATGGCCATAAAATACATGAGTATATCTTAAGTTAACGTTGAAGAACTTTTGTCATCGCAGCTGAAAATATTTCATGACTCTTAGAGTCCATCGCACTGCATCACGTGAATCTCATCACTTTAAAGGTTGTGAAGAGACTACTCAAGATGAATAGAGATCTATACATATATCTATATATACTTGTATGTGGATAACAGTAAGAATAAAATATCAATTCTTCGTAATCCTTGATATACTTCTAAACATCACCCCAAGTCTTACTGCTTGCTACTATACAACGATATATAATTGTATACTATATATTTTGCCCGTTTTGGATTCATCTTCTGGTTTAGTTTGCAGTACTTAATTGTTTTACATATGGAAAATTAAATAAAAAAAAAAGAATATTAAAATAAAACTAGTTAAAAGATTAGTTTATAAAATATACATTAAATTTAGGTTTTTGATATAGGATTTCAGATAATATCCAGTATTGTAGTCATTAGCTATTATTTATAGACTCTGACTTTGTTTATATTCCATAAGATTACAATAATTTGGGGTTAAAATGTCTTCTTCTTCTCAGTATGTGTATTACTCTTTATCAATGGTTGGAAAACTATTACTGTTGCTTTTATTCGTTTCATTGCGAGCATAGGATGGTTTAATCTGATAATGCTAAATTGGCATTGTTAAGAAATACATATTTACTAACATTTTTTATATTCAATTTATCTTGATATTTTTTTTGATTAAAGGTTCAAACAGTTGGAAAAATTAGGTAATGGTACCTATGCTACTGTTTATAAGGGTTTGAACAAAACCACTGGTGTGTATGTTGCCCTGAAAGAAGTTAAATTAGATTCCGAAGAAGGTACACCATCTACAGCAATCCGTGAGATTTCATTAATGAAGGAGTTAAAACATGACAATATTGTTAGATTGTATGATGTAATTCATACCGAAAATAAGCTAACTTTAGTATTTGAATATATGGATAAAGATTTGAAAAAATACATGGATTCTAGGACAACTGGAAACTCGCCACAGGGGTTAGAGTTAAGTTTGGTTAAATATTTCCAATGGCAATTATTTGAAGGTATTTCATTTTGCCATGAAAATAAGATATTACATCGTGATTTAAAACCACAGAATTTATTGATTAATAACAAGGGACAATTGAAATTAGGCGATTTCGGTTTAGCTAGAGCGTTTGGGATTCCAGTGAATACGTTTTCCAGCGAGGTGGTGACGTTATGGTATCGTGCCCCTGATGTGTTGATGGGATCTCGCTCATACTCCACCTCTATTGATATGTGGTCATGTGGATGTATTTTAGCAGAGATGCTTACAGGTAAGCCATTATTCCCAGGGACTAATGATGAAGAACAATTGAAATTAATATTTGATATGATGGGCACACCTACTGAATCTACATGGCCGACAGTGACAACGTTACCAAAATACAATTCTAATTTTTCTATCCAAGTACCTAAAGATTTAAAGAAACTGTTACAACCATTTACCAAAGAGCAGCTTGATGACATTGTGATTGATTTGTTGAATGGGTTATTACAGCTAAATCCTAGTATGAGACTAAGTGCCAAACAGGCGTTACATCATCCATGGTTTTCAGAATATTATCAACAACAACCTCATCAATGAGTGTGAAAAAAACAGAGAAACAAGAGATGGGTGGTAGGAGAGGGAATGTGATGGGACAAGTATGTGCGTGAGAGTGTGTATATATTTAATTTTTTAGTGAATCAAATAAAATGAATAAATTAATAAAATGAATAAATTAATAAAATGAATAAATTAATAAAATTAAGTAAAATAGAATAGAATAAAATTAAGTAAAATAGAATAGAATAAAATCAAGATAATTTGAACAATTTCGAGATATCAAAGTGACCAAGAATCGATTGGAAAAGCGTATTGTTAGTATCGAATAGGAGATATCTCCCACCTGGAGAGACAGAGAGACAGAGAGACAGAGAGACAGAGAGACAGAGACAAGAATTTAAGAATAGTTCCATTGTTCTGCGAGTAGAACTCGTATATATCTGGAATAAACACCAGAGACCTAATTGAATGAAAATACGGAAATGACAAAGACGTCACTGGAACAAAAAACAAGAGTTTGGACGATGTCTTGAAAGGGTAAAATGGGATGGAATGGGATGAGATGTCTGTAAAAGAAGAAGAAGGGCAGAAATGAATAAATGAATAGATGAATAAATGAATAAAATGGCTCTTCTTCCCACTTCCCCCCCAAAACAGAAGGAAACAGCACCACAACGCCAAGGAAGATCAGGTTCCTTAGTTAGTATAGAACTGGCAACGGGGGAACTGGGAATGGTATAGTGGAATGATCCAAGTGGTTTTTTCTATGATTGTGCAATTTAAAGGCTAAACAGTGTGGATGTTCTGAATCGGTAATATCAAGAAAGATAAATCTGACAGGTGGAGGAATCCCAGAAAGTAAAAAAAAAACCAAATTTCACAAGCGGGGCACAGAACATCCCCGGAGAAAATAATCTGGAATCTGAATCTTGAACTTTTGAACTTGAGTCTAATCAGAAAAAATTGAGGGGTCAATCCCAAATTATCCCAACCCAAATGTAAAACAGGGTTGGAAAATAAATACCAACTGTTTTTAGAAAAAAAAAAAAGAAGGCCAGAAAATGGACTATGAATTTCCGGGTCAAACCAAATTAAGTTGGAAAACGAAAAGAAAGGTATATCGTTACATCGGTTCGCCCTCCCTAAGAGAAAGATCAATGAATGGGGTATTTTCCCGCCCCCCCCTCTAAAAGGAGAACCCTCGACTAAAATATTTCCCCCCTCTTAAAAAAAAAAAGACCCTACTCTCAGAAAAAAAGGGGCCCTCTCCCAAAAATGGTAGAGGTGCGACCAAGAAAGCGGGCGAGATTGGTGAATTAAAAAT